TCCATTTATTAAAGACTGTTCTTCCGCCACAGTGCATTCTCGACACGTTTGTTGAAAACCAATTAACTATAAAACTTGAGTTTATTTCTAGGCTTGCTATCCTATTTCATTGATTGATGTGTCTGTTTTGATGGCAGTACCAGGGTATTTTGAATACAATAACATTACAATATATTGTGAAGCCAGGAACTATAATGCCTTTGCCCATTTTGCACAAGACAGTTTTGGCTATTTGGGGTATTTCCTGGGTCCATACATGTTTTTGGATTTTCTGTAAAACAATCTGTTTTTCTGTAAAAATTGACATTGGAATTTTGATAGGAACTGCACTAAGTCTGTAGATCTGTTTGAGTAGCAGGGATATTTTAACATTCTTCCAATTCATGAACATACGCTAACTTTCCATTTATTTATGTCTTCTTAAATTTCTCTCATAAGAATTCTACAGTTTTCAGTGTAAAGATTTTTCATATCCTTGGTTAAATGTACTTCTAAATATTCAATTTAATTTTTAGTGATAGCTAGATGAGGTTGTTTTATTTCTTTTGAAGATAATTTATTGTAAGTGTAATTATAGTATGTTTTATAACCTGCAACTTTTGTTAATAGTTTTATTCTAACAATTTTGGTGGGTTATAAAAAAAATTGTGTTATGTGCTAGGGACTGAACCTTGTGCATGCTAAGCACACACTGTACCACTGAGGTACATCACCATTCTTGTTAGACCCATAGGACCATACTGAGCCTAAAACATGTATTTTATCACCCTAATCTTCAGTTCTAAAACAAATACTGGGTTTTATGTGAATTAAGATTAGGTCAGTAGGCATCTGACTTAGAAGCTTGGTTTCTTCCATCACACAAGTTTTCCCATGTTATATTAAGTGCATAAGTATGTCATGATCTGCCTGCCGCATAATTTGCCTTTTATCTTCAGAACTATCATTACTAACCAAGGAGTCAACTGTGTGCAAGTGAAACAGTTGTCATTTTCTCACTATGTTCAATTATGATTTCTTTACTTTTCTCTCCATCTCAACACCATTTTTTGTTTTTATACAGGAGCTGTCAACAGTCCTACTGCTTCAGCACTTATCAGATGTCATGTGGTCAATAATACTCCTAATACTCGAAGTTAAGCAGTAACAGAGCGAACATAGCTTGTTAAATAACAGAAATGACCCCACAAAACCACTGACTCACTTGGCTTTGGTGGGCAAAGTTTGACTTGCTTTTACTCTGTGGAGTGGCTTTTTAAAAAGTAGGTTGGTTTAAGTTAGAAGTTCTGAGTCTTTGATTTCCTACCCTGGATCTAGAACACTTAAAAAAAAAAAAAAAAGAGTTCCTTTTGAAAAAACCCAACACAAAACAGGGCTGGTGGAATAACTCAAATGCTAGAGAGCCTGCCTAGCAAGCTTGAGGCCCTGAGTTCAAACCCTGCTGAAGACCCGCCGCCCCTCCCCCAAAAAAGTACTCCCTCCCTTCCCAGAGAAAGATGCAACGAGGCTTTCCATCGTCACTTAAACTAGTTGAATACCCCGGTCTCGCTAACGAGCGACTTCCACTGCTACTTTACTCAACGTGAGGACCCTACTCATGCCAAAGCTTCATTGTTGGACCTTGAAGCGGTATTAGCTGTATTATTTTGAAGGTAATGCCGAAGTTCTCAGGACATCAATTCCTTAGCGAGCTGGTGTGAGGAGTCAAGTGGGAAAACAGACACAACGGCCAGTGCATCAACCGCGTTTCCACCAAAGGCAGCACTGTGCATTTCCGGGAGGGGGTGCAAAGTGGACCTGCCCCAGTGTTCCAGGTGCACTCCGTCCAGGTGGAGCAGTGTCACTCCTCACCCTGGCTTTAGGACACAAGCACGGCCAGGAGAAGCTCCGAGGGAGGTGGGCGGCCAGACGCTGGCGGAAGCTCCGCCCCCTCAGCCTTGAGCTGGAATTCCCCGGTGTCTACTTCCATCCCAGCCCGCACCCCAAGCCCACTGTGCGTCCCACGGCCGGCAGCCGCGCCCGCCCACGCGGCGACGTCACCGCGCCCGGGACGCACCGCCCACGCAGTGGAGCCGGAAGCCGGCCGGAGGGGCGCGCCGCATGCGGGGAACCGCGGGAGCCCGAGCGCCGGCACCTGGGGAAGCCGGCGGGCCACAGCGGGCATGCGCGAGGCTGCCGGGTGGCGCAGGCGCTCTGCCGCTCTCCGCCGGAGATCCGGTTCTCCAAGTTGGAGCTGTCTGCTAGCGGTCGTCTGTCCTGGCTGCGGGGGAGCCAGAGGAAAAGCTGGGGCGGGAGCCCGACTCTCGGGAAGGGCGGGTTTGCCTGTGGGATGGGGAGGAACCGGGTGCTGCGCATCTGTGCTGGGCGCGCCCCAAGAGTTTGGAATTATTCGCAGGAAGGTGAAATCAAACTGTATCGGCAAGTGCCATGCCTTTATCCCATGCCAAAAACAAACCTTAGAACATACACCCAAAGCTTGGGGCCATCCAAGGATGACAAAATACCTGTGTGCCAGGCGCCCAGCAAAGACTTTCCCTGTGCTTTGACTTTCCTGTCGCCACTAACAGGCCCTGCGGGGAAGGGACGTACAGGCATATTGAATCCCCAATGTATGCTTGGGAAGGATGAGGACAGATTAAATTTTCATACTGAAAAGTGGTGGAGTTCCTGTTTCTATCAGTTTTGTCTGCTAACGCTGAGGGCTGCCCTTGTCAGACTGTCTGAAGATATTCTGTAAATAAATGACAGGTCGTGAAGTTTGTGGATTTAGAATGGGATTTGGTAAGAGGAAAACCAGAGACGAAAGCTTTTGGGTGGCACGAAAAAGGAAAGAGAAAGGAACTTTAAAAGACAGCGATTGCCTCAGCCTGTGTTTATGTGTGACTTACAAGTAGGAACATCTATAATTCAACGGATGGGCTCTTTCTCTAAAGCAATGGATTTACTACTGCCTGTATTTAGGTTTATGCTATGATGCCCAGTGACACCGTTCCTCTCTGTTTAGCAGTTAGGTGCATAATGGCTCCTCACTTTAGCAGTCAGAAACTTCAGTACCCATAGCAAAGATGCTATATTGTAGAGGATTTATTACTGGCTCATCCTTGTCAGAGACAGGTCTCCTAAGTGATTGCTGGTTCCCTGTCTGTGGCACCAGTCATGTGAGAAATAAACACAAGTCCAAATTCAGTACCAGCACCTATCTTCAAAAGAAGAAAAAAAATGCTATATCATCTTTGTTTAAAGAAGCTTGGCCCCAGTGATTGGTTAATTTGCTCATGGTTTTATATTGTTACTGCTATAATACAGTGCACTACCCAATTTAGCAACTGCTTAACTACTACCCTCTATTAGTCTCTAATTGTTTAATGGATGTAAATTTTATCTCCTAAGCAAGACGGTAAGATTCTCCAGGCAGGAGGAACTGTAGCTGCCTATCTATACTCCCGAGTGCTGACTTAATTGACTTTTTTTATTCTGCTGAATCTGTACCACTCCTTACCTGGCACATACTAAGTGTTCAGTAAATATTGAATGAATTAAATGATGTCTCCTGAAGAGCAGGAAACAAGTCTGTTATTTACTTTGTTTTTCTGGCTCCTTATTCCTATTGTGGATACTTAGCAAATGTATGACTTCATTGCTGTGCCTTTCAGCAAGGGAAATATAATCTCCCTGTTGCTCTGTAAAGAATTGCCACCTGAACACCATGCCCCCAAGAAATCTGTCAAGAAATAATTGTTGATAGATTGGTTAGCTTCAAAGATATTCTTGATTTTTTTTCTGAATGTGCATCTGCCCTTCTACAATAAATGATAACCCTCATTATTTAAGAAATTCTTGAGGAGATTGTGTAATTTGAGTATCTTCTTGGATTCAGAAAGCAACCAAGGAAACCAAAAAAAAAATCTAAATCCAAAATCAACGGCAAGCCCCCAAAGCAAACAGAACCTATGTACTTAAGGACCCTATCTACAAAATCTTAACTGCTCCTTTTGGGCACACTGTGTGTGTGTGTGTGTGTGTGTGTACTCAACACCTTTTACCTTTGAAAATGTAAAATGAAAAATGTGTTGATTTGAGGGGCTGGAGGTGTAGCCTTGGGGGTCCACCTGAGCACCACCACCATCCGCAACAAGCAACACAAAAAGTGTTGGCAACTATTAAATAAAAAAGTTTTTTTTTTTTTCCTTCAAGCTCATTAAGCCTGATCCGAGCAGACTCTACAAGAGAAAGCAGATTTGGGTGCACAAGAACTTTGCTTCACTACACTTCTGGCAGCCTGTCCAGCTGACAGCAAAGCCTCCAAGGGAAGGAGTGGGGTGGGAATAGGGAAGTGATGAGTCCGGGGAATATCTGAACATCGGAGAACTAGGAGCTAGAGCAGATTCAATGTTTCCATTCCGTGGCTGCTAAATCTGGCTGTCTCCCATTTATTAAGCTATGGAACCTTGGGGCAAGAAGCTGTTTTAACATTTTCCGGGGCCTTAAATTTCCTCACTTGTGAAATGGCTATGATAACAACGATAAGTTACAATGTGAATTCGTAAAGGGCTTAGAGCAATGCCTCGCACACTGGAACACACCAAGTGCTTTGTTAAATGTTTGGCAAGTAAATAAAGTGCTAGGCTACACTAACCTCCACTTCTATGCAGCTAGCAACTTGTAAGCCCCACCTATAATCAAGTTATGGGGACGATGCTGTTTCCGATTTCAAGGCTTTTCTAACCCAGGCAATTAATTTTCGCTGCCGTCTACACTGCGGGAACTCGAGCAAATGAATTGGGACGTTTTCACTCTTCTTCAGGTCCCCTGGGCGCCCCTCACCAAGTCGCGAGGGGGCGTGTATGGGGGAGGGGCCCTCTCTCCTGGTAGCTCCTGGGTCGCGTTAGAAACCACCCCGAGGCACGCCCATGCGCCCGGGAACGCCCCCGGGGGCGGGGCCGGACAGCCGCGCATGCGCAGTGCAACGGCGCCGCGCCTGCGCCCAGCAGGGCCTGAGGGAGGCGGGGGATTGGTATGCGAGCGAATGTGTGAGGGGAGGGAGGCGTCCCGGCTGAGCGTGGTACTACGACGAGCGCGGGCCGGAGGGGGCGGGGGGATGCGCCGCGGTGGCGGCGCGGGCGCTGGGCTGGTGTTTGGCCGCGCCAGAGCAGCGGATCCCGGTCTTGCCGCGGCAGGAGCGCGGTTGTCGCGCACGACCCGAAGACGCCGAACCTTTCTGCACCCCCACTTTTTTTTTTTTTTTTTTTTAAATAACCGGAACCAATGAACGTAGCCGGGACCCTAGCTCCGGAGGCCGCCGAAGCCGAGGGGACCAGCCTGGCGCTCGGCGGGAGCCAGCGTCTGAGGCGGCGGGGGCGGCCCGGGGAGTCGCCGGCGGCGGCTGCGGCGCTTCGCGGAGCGGGCGGGTGGCCGGCGGCCGGGGCGCCGCCGCGCTTTCCCTCCGCTCCTCCTCCACGCCCTCATCCCGCCGCGACGCCCGGCTCGGCCTGGGGCTGGCTGCCTCGGCGGCTCCGGGCTGCGCTGCTGGTGTTCGGGCTGTTGGTGGCCGGGGCGGCGGAAGGATGCGACCTGGTGCCGAGGCACCTCCGCGGGCCGCGGGCGGCGGGCTCTGCCGGGGCATCCGCCTCTTCTCCCGCCGCGGCGGCGGGCGACCGCCCGGCGCTGATGACAGGTGAGGAGCCCGGGGGTGGGGGCGGGTGGCGGCGTGGGGGGTGTGGTGGCGGCGGCGGCGGCGGGATCCCCATCTTCCGGAAGGGCCCGCGTCCCAGCGGACGCCCCGCTGTTCGACGGCCCCGGCCAGTTACCGGTGAGGGGCGGGGGGCCCTGGCCGCCGCTCGGTCGCGGCCCGGTTCACTTGAGAAGCCTCCCTTTTTCACCCGCCACCCCGCCCTCGACCGATTACTTTCTCGACGGCATTCGCTCTCCGCCCTTCGGTTACCCAACTCCTCCAAACTGAGCAAGCAGTGCAGTGATTTCTTTTTCGTGCTGCATCAAAGCCACCAGGGTCTGCACGGTACTCGGCTGATTTTTTTTTTGTTTTGTTTTTAAGCTGCTAAAAGAAGTCGGCAGCAGCAGCAGCAATGCGGTACTGAGTCGGCCTCTGGTGCTGCTTTTGCAGAGGCAGCTGGCAGAGTCTCACCGGTTGGGAGCCCCACTGAGCACAGCGTCCCTAGGGAAGCTGCTGAAGAGGTTCTCTGAGAGCCATTATACCTAGCATTAGTGGTTGCGTATTAGGACGAGAAAACGACGAAGTCTAATGTTATTTTTTGGGGGGTAGAAAGAGGTTATTTTAAAGGATGAAAAGGGTTTGCAGTTGGGAGCATCACTGGGTGACAAAGGGTGCAGAGAGCTTAGCAGGTAAACAGAAATATACCTAAAATTTACCAAGTACAGGGTATTTGGGGCGTGTGTTTGAGCATGGATCTGATAGACTGCACCAGTATCCTTTTAATATAGAACGTTCTAGCACATAACTGAAAACTTGCAAGCATGTTTAATAAAGTTTGGTAGAATACCGTATCCATTTAAAGCCTTTCGTTGTCTTGTATAACTCATCTGTCGTGGTTTAAGAACTGATACAAAGATCTTGAAACGATTTTTTGAGAAAAGCAAAGGAGCTAAAGTAATGCTTATTTTTCTTAGTACTTCATTCATTTTTAAAGCAGATCTATAGATTTTCTGCACAAATTGCAAGATTAAAGAGGAAAAAGTAAAGTGGAACAAGATGACCCATCATTAACTAAAGTGATAGTCCAGCAGGCATCTGGAAGTTCTGACAGCTGCTCTCTGAAGTGCTCAGGAACTATATTCTTCAGATCCAAGCAACTATTCTATGACTGGATGTTTGCTCTTCTAGGGAAAAGAAGGACATTGGTAAACTTTGTCAAGCACTTTGGAAGTTGTAGGGTGTAGAACAGGATGATCAGCATATCATAGTTAATTTACCCAGAAAGATATCAAGCCTTATTAAATGGAACTTGGAAGAGCAAACCTTAAAAGCGTTGGTTAATTTGGATAAAATATTACAGAATAATCAGTAGTAGGAGCATAGTTTGAGTGAGAGGATAGAGTGGATAGTTTTATGCTTGAGTAATTGAAATAAAAATGACCAATGTAAAGACTAGTGATAATCAGGAAATCAGCTAGATAAGACTGTAGCTTCAGCTTCACTGTTTAATGCCTCATGTGAGAAAGGAGCAGAACTATTTCAGCTTTTAGAAGCTGTAGGAATGGAGTGTGGCTCTTGGGTTTTTGAGCAGAAAAGTTTGATCAGTAAATAATTGCCTAATGCTTTATCAAAATGTAGTTGGCAGAAAGGCAAGCAATTCAGAATTTTGGTATTTATTATCATTAACAAGTATAGTTTATACTGTGTACATCATACCAAGAAAACTACTTCAGATGGAATTTTATTTTATAAGCTGTTTATAATCCTTTTAAGATTTAAGTTTCTTTGTAGTTATTTATGGCACTGTGAAAAAGACAAGGTGATTCTTATTGGGGAAAAAAATCTGATATGTCACACATAACAAATTTGTACTGCACTGCTTTAAAATAAGTTTACCAAAAATAAGATTTGCCGGGAATTACTTCTAATGTTCTTAATCTTTCTTTTTGTTAGAATATTGATTTTAATAAGTTAAACGTTCTCATACAAAGTTTGAGATTATAAAACTACCAAGTATGCAAGTTGAATTGCAATAATTTTACTAAGCTTATGTAAACATAGCCCCCAGCACTGATATTTTGGAAAAAGTAAATAGAAAAACCCTGATGAAATTAGAACATTGAATATTGCTTTGAACTCCACATGGCCTCTGCAGGGCTCTCTTCTATTGTTAAACTGTGAATAATAGAGCATCAGTAAGGAAAGAACTGAACTTCATGTGAATTTTAATAATTGGAAATTCTTGAAAGAATTCTGAGAGGATTGTTCTCTCTGGCTCTGAACCTAAAGTTGTCATTTAACTGTCAGATTCATGATAGCTCTAAAATGACAGCCCAAATCACTTTATTTTCCTTTCCAGATTGATATTTTTAATACTTGAGTTTAGAAACTTCCTAAGATACTGCCTCTTGCTAATAACATCTAGTAAACATTCTTTTTCACTGATGTTTGCCTCCCAAGGGTTTCATTTTAGTATATCTTAAAAATAAATTGCCTTTAAATCATGTCTTATGCTTAATTTTGAGCAAGTAAAGTGTTATTATAAAGACAGGCAGTGACAAATCATCAAAATAAACAGATCTGTTGTCATAATGAATATAGGTTCATATTTTTTCTTTTTATATTACTTTTTAGAATTTATTGTATAAATGTTTTGATAATGTGGAACCAATATTTCTAATGTTATATAGTAAAGGTTTTAAATTTTATGTGTATTTGTTATTTTTTAAAGGCTCTTATTTTGAAAGTGATTGGAAATTTAAAGGAAATTAGAGATTAGTGATTGAGAGATTGCTAATTACATCTTAAAGCTGTACTTTAATAATTCAGAACGTTAACTTTTTTTTGCCTAACAGCTATAGAATCAATGGATTGATTCCTGTGGGGAGTGAGTGATCTCCTTGAGATATGGGTATGGAGAAAGTTTTATGGAAGGGCAAAACTATTATGAACAAAATACATTCTTTATTCTGGCAAACTGTAGAACAACTGAAACATTGAAACCTTTTTTTTTTATATGTAGCTAATTGTTTCAGAAGACTTTATAAACAAATGTTAGCTTTAAATATTTGCTTGCCTGATTTTTTAGTGACTTAAAGTAACATTCTTTAGTGCATATATAAAGGTTTTTAACTATAGTATCATTTTACCCATTTGATATCTTATTTGAAATAAAATGCACGTTTTAAAACATGTCTTTTAGAAGTATTAGAATCTCCATGAAAATCTAAAATATTCTTAGTTTAAATCAGACCATCATTAAGAAGGATGACTTTATCCAGAAATGTTAAACATATCTGTTACAGGGTTTTCATTAATTTAGATGGAAATAGCTCAGTTAGCATCATTGCATTAGAGAAATCTTAAGCGAAACTTAATTATCTCACCTTGCATTCTTAACATTTACCCAGTAAATGTTGTTACTTACTTATTGTTTTTTAAAATTAGTGGGTTCAAGTGTGGTGTTAAGTATGTTGCTTTGAGTAATATTTTACAACAGATTTCTGTGTTAATGTTTACATTGTTATAATATTAAACTCATAGTATAACTCACACGGCTCCTCTTGTGAAGTCGATCTTTCTGAATTGAGCTTATGATTTGTTAAAGCCTTCTTTTGATACTTTTCTGCTATTTTCTTTTATTCCTTCCCTATAGTTATACTTACTAGTCCCTTTCTTTCTATTTTTATTTTATAGTACTGGGGTCTAGTGAACTCAGTGTCTAGTGTTTGATTGGCATGCACTCTACCACTTGAGCCACGCCTCCAGTCTTTTTTTTTTGCTCTAGTTATTTTTCAGATAGGGTCTTGTGGTTTTGCTGTGCTGGCCTTAGACTGTGATCCTTTTACCTGAGACCGCCATAGCTCGGACCACACCCAGATTAGTTGTTGAGATGGGGATCTAGCTAACTTTTTGCTCAGACTGACCTCCAGTTTTGGTCCTCTGGAACTCTGCCTCCAAATAGTTGAATTGTGGTCATGAGCCACCTCCTGGCACTGGTAGCAGTCCTTTTCTTTAGTAATCATTGGCCATTGTTGTAGTTATGTTGCTGTTGGTAGCTACAGAATTAAAGAAACTGCTGGTGTTCATTTGATCTAGACTTCTGAACATTTAAGAATTAGATATTATATCCCTTTTTACTCTTCCTGAGACTACCAGGAACTGTTGGTCTCTGTTGGGGATCTCATAGGACAGGAAAAACTCTAAAGGACCAATTAGAAACTTGGATTTAAGATGTAGCTTAATTTTGTAAAAAACAGGACCCAAATTAGAATTTGTTAAGGACTTGATTTGTGGCTGGATACATGCTAATATTTTTAGATTAATATAGGTTTAGAATTTGAGGTAGATCTTCATATCTGGATAAATCTTCATGTGGCGATGAGTTGAAAGGGCTTTTAAGACAAAGCATATATATGGAGTAAGTTAATCGTTTTCTTTAGAGGTGTACATAGGGTATAGATAGAGTAGTGGGAAATAGAGTAGGAGAAAGAAGATTGGGTCCAAATTACCAAGTACTTTAATATTCCTTAGCGTATTCAATATGTATGGAAATGTCCCCACATCTAAAGTTGGGATACTCAGCCAAGTACTGGGCAATATGGGAAGCACCAGGAAAAATAGGATAAATTTCTTCTCATATCCACTTTATTAGATTATTCAGGACACACACTAAATATTGATAATTTAAAATGTTAAAAATTACTAAACATATACATTATGGAGAATGTAAATCAACATTATTTTTTAAAGTAAAAACGACATTTTGAATGTCTTGAGAGTTTTGTTCATAAACTCTTGGAATTCTAAATATTGTCCTGTCACTAGGGAGTGATAGACACTGTGGTGTTTGAACAGGGGTGGCAAGTCTCTGAGAAAGCTAATTCTGGGTGGATGGAAGTGAGGAGATAGTAGAGATCAGGTGGCCAGTTAGAGAACTGTAGTAATAGAAGTCTTGAGAGTTTCAGTTATGTAGAGGCTATGAAAATGTTTAGAGGAAATTG